ATTCCTGCGTGGTGAGTTGAGTTAGTTTGTGTCGCAGCAGGAACACTGCATTTTGTCCATTTTGTCTAAATTGTCTAATTTATGTGTGTGGAGTGGTTTGTAATATTCCTTGATTGTCCTTTGTGATGTGCGGTGTCTGTAGTGATATCGCCTGTTTCATTATGATATTTAAAATGTATGTCTTTTCTTTTCCTTTTAATTTCTGCTTGAGTTTGCTAAATTTTCTTAATCTTTTAACAGAGCTATCTCTTTGTTTCATTGATTTAACTATTGTTTTTCTCTTTTAAATGTAAGTGTTTTCTGTTCTTATCTTCATTAATCCCCACCCTCTACTTGCTTTCAGTTTATTCTGCTCTTCTTTTTCTAGGTTCCTGAGGTGGAAATCTATTGCTCACTCGAGACTTTTCCTCTTTCCTAATGCATGCATTTATTGCTATAAGTTTCCTTCTCAGCACTTTGATATGTCACAGTTTCATGTTTATCCAGTCCAATGTATTTTTAAATTTCTCCTTGAGACTTCTTTGTTAACCAATAGACGATTTTGAAGTGTGTTTTTAAATTTTCAAACGTTTAGGGATTTTCATATCTTTCTTATGCTGTTTTCTAATTGGATTCCCTACAATGATTTGTGGTTTTCACCTGCTCTGGATGATTACTATCTCTTTTAAATTGGTTGTGGCGAGTTTTAGGGCCTAGGATAGCTCTATCTTGCCATATGTTTTGTCAGAATTCAAAAAAAAATATATGTATTCTGCTATTGTGTGGAATATTCTGTAAATGCCAAAAAGATTCTTTTGGTTAATGGCATTTTGAGTTGTTTTATATTCTTGTTGATTTTTTTCCTCTTTTTAAAAATATGAAATGTTTCACAAAATTTTGTGTAATCTATATGCAGGAACCGTGTTAGTCTTGTCTACATCATTCTAATTTTAGAAAGTGCTGCCAAAGCCAACACTCCTTGCTGATTTTCTGTCTAGTTCTATCAATTATTGAAAAAGGCATGAGGAAGTTTCTAACTATAATTGTGGATTCGTCTATATCTCCTTTCAGTTCTGGCAGTTTTCTTTCTTAAAAAAGTCAACAAAAATTTATTTAATTAAGCATAAAGTTACTTTCTCATTTATCTACAACCACAGTGAATACACTTCTTGGCATGAAGACACAGCCTTTAGAATTTAAAGCCTCCCCACCTGCGAGATTACATATATAAAACTCCCACTGTTGTTGCTATAGTAGTGGATTAGTTCCCGAGATTAAAATTTATACAATCTAGAAATAATAAAATGGAAATGATTTACTCATAGATTTGTATTTAAATCATCTTTATTTACAAACTACTATACTAAGAACTATAATTCCTTAAACTTCAATTTGAGAAAAGTGTAATCACTTAAGTAACAGCCGTTACTTAAACTGAAAATGAGATCAGTCTAAATTACTTTTGAAGAGAGCAAAAATATTCTCAGGTTTCTTGCTGTGGTTCTGGTTGTTCAGTAGCAGGCTCCTTGGAAGGCAGAATCAACCCTGACAGGAACTCGCTTCTACCTTCAGAATGTGGGGTTGGGGTAAAATCCAGGTCTTGGGTGAAGGTAAGGAGGAAAACCCCTCGGTGGATAGATGTTTCTCACTGCAAATGGAGCACGTGGTGGACCTGGGAAATCCCATGGTGGATAGTAAACTCGAGAAGCTCCAAACACGGTTCCTGGAAGAGGTGGGGGGAAAGGAGGTCCTCTTCTCATGAACGGTTCCCTCGTATTCATAGGAAACAATGGACCTCTGATTGGAGCTAGAGGTGGGGGAACGAAGCTGGTGCCAGTTGCTTCATTTTTAGCAGGGAGAGATGAATCAGGCACATTTAAATTACCAGGATGATCTTTGGCATCATTTCTACTGGATTCCATTTCAGAAGGCATTGACCCATCCATTTTATCCAAAGAAGGCACATTAAAACTTCTGAGTTCTGCTGGCCCAGACAGTCCATCAGAATTAGAATAAAATCTGTCTTCCCTTTGTGGAGGAAGAGCTGAATCAGGATATGATTGTCCTGGTGGAGGAAACGTCATCTTACGGCCCTGTTCCCATGGAGATGACAGGGACCCAGTATCAGAAGGAGCCCTGAGAGGATCGGTTAATGTATCGCAGGCTGGTTCTCCTCTTTCACTGGTAATCTGATGGTCCAGAGGATTCCCTGGGCCTCTTGGGCCTCTTCCTTCTCCCTCCGGAAGCACAGGAGAGGGTCTCAGTGGACCCTCCAACACAGTTTGAGGAGACAGAAAAGCTCTGGTTTCAGATGAAGGCTGACCCAATGGTGAGGGACCACATGGGGAATGCCCTCTGCCAAATGCTGTATTTGAAACATCAGGTGCACAAGGATCTTTTTGTAAAAGTTCAAATTTAAACTCTGTTTCAGTTAATTTTTGTCTGTTGTGAGCATTTTC